ATCTAGTGTTAAAGCCTGTCCTCTTAGGAAATCGATACTAGCCGAAGCTTGCCAGGAATCATCGTCCCAAACTGTAGTTTTATTTGCGATTAAATATTTTTAGATCGTGCCAAATGCTTGATAAAATAAACGGAGGACAAAATGTGTTGATAGTTCGTTTCGTTTCTCTTTTGTTTCGAATTAAAGATAAAATCTGTTGGGTCGCTACGTCGACGTCCTTAAAATTTCTAGACGACAGGCGTCGACGGGAACAGTCAGAGTGAGGAAAATCGCGGCGCGGAATTGACAGCGTGACAAGCGGCTGAGGAGCTTTCGTAGAGGAAGTAGAGTTTTTGCTAAATCGGTCTCTTCGCGTAGTCGAAAATAGGTGCGGGGGTTAGTAGTGGTGGTGGTGGTGGTTTCTCGATAGCGGGCGAGGTGCGCGATTCGCCGGCATATTCCCTGGCACAATGGGTCGGAATTGACTATCTAGGAGCCGTGTAAAACGGAGGCTTACCTCCGTCGAGTCGATCGTCGACGCACCTGTTCGGCAGTGTCGAAAATTCGACGACTGTCCGTCGAGACTTGAAGAACTGTGAATTTTATACTTTAATTCCTCGAAACTGGATCAATTGACCTGAAACCCGGTTCATCCGGAGGTTAATGCCGATGTCACAGTAGAATAAACATGTACGTGGTCAGACGATGATCGATGGCCTCCGGTGAAAGCATCCGAGCCACGGTCAGATGTCGTTCGGTGACCGGAAAAAAATGTTTATCCCGTGATCGAGTATCGAAAAAAAGAACGAATAATTGAGCCGTTTGTAACCGCGGCGAGCCTGTCGACAATTTATTAAAACGATCTTTCATTAAACAGTAGCTTGAAATATTCAATGAATTTCATATGTGACATGCGACGCGAGCAATTGCATGATCAATGAGGTATTAAATTAGAGACGAACACGAAAGGGAATTGTGAAAAATGCATGGCTAGCATAGAGGTGGTGTTACCACTAAAATCTCAATTACAAATTCGAAGTCGAGTCAAGTGGCTGAATGTTAAATTATTCTACCCCTTGGCCGTAGCATTCAGGAATTCGATTACAACGGAGGAATGTTGAAGCCGAAACGGTCTCTAAAACCTCGTGTGAAGTAGTTAGCTCGCATACGGAGGCACGCCAGCTGCGTTAGCGATATGTACCGTGAGTTTTAGACTACATATCCGACTATCGTCTGCGCAATGTTGGTCGGTGAAAACAATTATTACTACTTGACAAACTCAAATAGTCTGGCTGCTGCAAGTCGGAAAGTTCTGTTAACCGGTCGTACGTGTATACGTGTATTAGCGATGGTGTATGTCTGTGTGCGGCGGCAAGTAAAGAGGAGACCTCGTGTACGCAACTCGCGTGTCAACGTGCGAGCACGTATCTCGAGCGTGTGACACGGCTGGCCGCTTGGTATGCGAACGAGTGGACTACACGGTTGGGTTGTCCGCGCTTGGAATAATCAACGGCGTAATGGAGTGCGGCGTGGTTAATGAGCTACCTGCTCCGCTGGTCATTTCTACGGTACGCGAGAACTCGTCCAACGACTCTTCCCGCACCCCCGTATCCGTATCTATTTAAGAAGACCTCGCCGGGTCATGAAAGAAATATCAAACGCCTTAAAAATACAGGCTATTTCGTTTCTCACGATGAACAGTGAACTAATAACGCTTTCATTTCTGCATTCGTGCATTTCCTCGGGTGGACTCCTCCTCCTCCTCCTCCTCCTCCTCCTCCTCTATGCGCTGAAATTGTATCAGAAACGGTGCCTGCGAGGGAAACAATGGAAAGAACGTGACCATTGAAAGAAGTTTCCTTTAGAGTCTTACTTGGGCCCGGCTAAGGGTGAAGGTTATCTCGATTCAAACGGCAACTCCGGAGAATATTAAGCTAGTTAAATTGGAACGATCGAGTGACCTAATTCGGCGGAGTTCCGCGAACAAGTTCTTTGATACGAGAAAAGAATAAATACGCCGAGTTTGCGAAGGAGGGTAACAAAAAGGTCGCTCCTCTTCCCGCTCGTTAAATTCTTCGCGATGGGACGCAAGGAGGTAATTAGAGACCGTTCTATTTGCCGGACGTTTTTGGATACACAAATGGTTATTTATTATTACCTACGCGGCTATTTAAATCTCATTGACGTTACCAATCTCCAATTACCGTTAACGTTACCCGACCAATGTCATTAATGTAACGAAAACGATAATAATTATTTACCGTTGCAATTAATTAACGTTATAATATGCATTAACGCAATCGATGGTCGGCGCGACGCAGTCAATTAAAAAATCAGCCACCCGGTTAATTAATTTATGTAACAGGTAATTCAATGAAATTACGTTTCGATTCATGTTAGTCGATAACTGCCAACTGTAGTTCTTAAGTCCTGTACGCTTGAGATCACTCGACGACCACCGGACCGTTTCGTTCTCATGATTTTCTCAGTGTCCACTCGCCCTGCGTTAGATTTTGAAACGCGGTTTCATGCTGAGCCATCGACATGCAGCCTTACGATCCTCAAACGAGGAAATGTATCGCTTGATCCTTTCGCGATATCGTGAAAGACACGACTGCTTTTATGGTGTTTTTCATCTGACACAGTCGGGTTTCTGCTTTTCCTTTGCTTTGACCGGAGGTAATACGTTAGAGACCGACCAGGCTCTTTTCAACCATTCTTTCGTTTTCTTACTTTTAACTCGATGAAAAATTCCCCTCTGTATGTATATCAGCGAACTGATTTACGTTTAGTGCATCGGAGCATCTTTGCTACCGAGAATCTCTGAAGATATTAACTGATGCGTGGTTTCATTCGAAACCTTAAGACGAATTATTCTATTTGTAATTCCATTTAAACAATTGATAATAAAAAAAAAACATGTTACTAATAATGATTATTCTTTTTTTGTTACAGGACCGAGTTCTCGTCTCCGTCTGGCGTTTCCCAAAATTCTTATCGAGGAATTAGATTAGGAGGGGCATTAAACAATTTTTAAACGGTGTTTGACAGAACGTTGTAAAGTCGTTTAAATGAAATCACGGAGCACGTATCGTTGTTTCCGCGACCCTCACCCGCCTCGAGCGGAATCGCGCGTGTAGAATTCAATAATGGGGCTAAGATCGAGGAATTAGGTGATCGTTCGCTATGATGCCTGAGGTGGATTCGTAGGCATCGCCCGGCTAGCTGCTACTGCTAATTCGACGTGGAAGTTAATTAAAGTCGATGATCGGGTCTAATGGTAAGCGAAAAACCGAGCCGACTGCACAATTCAATGGAATTTTGCGAATTTTTTTTTATAAAATATTTCAAATCTTTATGGCTGTGATAGTTAATGTTTCATTTAGTCATTTGTTAGCTCTTGTGAAGATTTTGATAAGTAAGAATCGATGCAGGTGTTCGATTAATGAGCCTATGTCTGATTCGGTTGACCATTGACCTATACTACTGAATTACGATGTTCGAATTTCCTAACGCCAATTCTCACATTCTTCTCAAGATTTCTAATACTATAAATTTTCAAGAATCGAAGCAGGTGTTCGATTGAAGAGGCTATGTCTGATTCGGTTGACCATTGACCTCTACTACTGAACTGCGAGTTTCATACAAACGAATTTCCTAACGTCAATTCTTAAATTCTTTTCAAGATTTTTAACGCTATAAACTTTTGAGAATCGAAGCAGGTGTTCGGTCAAAGAATTTATTGACCTTTGACCATTGACCTTTACTACTGAATTGCGAGTTTCATACAAACGTATTTTCTAACGCCAATTCTTAAATTCTTCTCAAGATTTCTAATACTATAAATTTTCAAGAATCGAAGCAGGTGTTCGGTCAAAGAAGTTATTGACCTTTGACCATTGACCTTTACTACTGAATTGCGAGTTTCATACAAACGAATTTTCTAACGCTAATTCTTAAATTCTTCTCAAGATTTCTAATACTATAAATTTTCAAGAATCGAAGCAGGTGTTCGGTCAAAGAAGTTATTGACCTTTGACCATTGACCTTTACTACTGAATTGCGAGTTTCATACAAACGAATTTTCTAACGCTAATTCTTAAATTCTTCTCAAGATTTCTAATACTATAAATTTTCAAGAATCGAAGCAGGTGTTCGGTCAAAGAAGTTATTGACCTTTGACCATTGACCTTTACTACTGAATTGCGAGTTTCATACAAACGAATTTTCTAACGCTAATTCTTAAATTCTTCTCAAGATTTCTAATACTATAAATTTTCAAGAATCGAAGCAGGTGTTCGGTCAAAGAAGTTATTGACCTTTGACCATTGACCTTTACTACTGAATTGCGAGTTTCATACAAACGAATTTTCTAACGCTAATTCTTAAATTCTTCTCAAGATTTCTAATACTATAAATTTTCAAGAATCGAAGCAGGTGTTCGGTCAAAGAAGTTATTGACCTTTGACCATTGACCTTTACTACTGAATTGCGAGTTTCATACAAACGAATTTTCTAACGCTAATTCTTAAATTCTTCTCAAGATTTCTAATACTATAAATTTTCAAGAATCGAAGCAGGTGTTCGGTCAAAGAAGTTATTGACCTTTGACCATTGACCTTTACTACTGAATTGCGAGTTTCATACAAACGAATTTTCTAACGCTAATTCTTAAATTCTTCTCAAGATTTCTAATACTATAAATTTTCAAGAATCGAAGCAGGTGTTCGGTCAAAGAAGTTATTGACCTTTGACCATTGACCTTTACTACTGAATTGCGAGTTTCATACAAACGAATTTTCTAACGCTAATTCTTAAATTCTTCTCAAGATTTCTAATACTATAAATTTTCAAGAATCGAAGCAGGTGTTCGGTCAAAGAAGTTATTGACCTTTGACCATTGACCTTTACTACTGAATTGCGAGTTTCATACAAACGAATTTCCTATTTTATAAATTGTCCTGATTTATAATACTTGAAATCTTTTAAGAATCGATGCATTTTACTAAAAAGGCTACGTCTGATTCGGCTGACCATTGACCTATACTACTGAATCACGAGGTTTATAAAATCGCTGATCGAATTTCATAACGCAGTTTCCTAAATCCTTGATCCCGTTTCTGCGAAGATATCTTTGGAGATAGATTCGCGAGGAAAAATTCGTAGATCGCTGATAAGCAGTAACACACCGCGCGCGCTTGAAAAAGCTTATCTTCTCCTCGATACGAGGAGCGCGGATGACGGAGAGCACGTGATCTAGTTAGACGACAGTGAACCGCGCGGCCCGCCCATTGCTCCCCGAGACTGATAAGTACTGATTTCCATAATGGTTCCATGTACGAGTACGCTCGGTCTATTCTTGCCCCGGGCCACTTTCCGTCGTCTTATCGTGCGCCTTAGACTCCCGCTAGTCGATCGATACCGGATTGATTTCCGCCTGATTTACGACCCCGTTACATATTCATCGCAATCAACGAGGATCAAGATCGCTTAATTAGGTCGACGTAGCAAAACCGAAATAATCATCGAATTTCTCTGCTTGGTATCTCGAAAAATAGAACGACCATCATATTTTCTGTAGAAAACTGAAGTATAAAGATTCGAATATATGTATACCATCTGGTGGCTCGAGTTTGGATTTGAAAAATGAGAAAAGGAAATGATGGCTCGCAATTCTTTCTCCTATCTTAGAAAATTGCATTACACTTCTTATTCACTCCGACAATTTCAAGTGAATTTGCAATATTTTTCTCAGATGCATTCGTTTACTTATTGTACTCGCAGTGAATGAAATCTACAAGAAGAATGATGATATATTCCAAGTATCCATAATCGTCGATTTTAATCTTGAAAATAAATAAATATCAGTCTTGTACGAAATCGGGGAACCTGCGTTTGTTGAAACGTAGGTTCGAAAGTCGGCTCGGCGTCTGACCCGGTTGTTACCACTGAAATTTCAGGGAAAGCCGCAAGCTCGCGTCGCAGCAGGGGTGTCGCGCAGTTAGCGCTCGAACAGGCTTAAATGAAGAGCGATCGACGCGGGGAGAGGTGATCGATAGCGATTGCGAGGAGAGCCGCGCGCGCGCGTGCGTGCGTGTGGGCGGGTGGTGCGTGCGTGTGTGGTACGTCGGGCACACGGGGGCTGGGGTGATCGTGGCGGTGACACGCGGGGCCAGGGACAGAGAGGAGCAAGATGAAACTCTTCCCGATTCTCGTTTTACTGATCGCGCCGGCCACTCTCTCGCTCTCGATCAAGACCAAGCTGAATCCGCGGATCGTTAAAACGCGGTACGGCGAGTTGCAGGGGGTTGTACGCTCGTTCGAGTACGCCAAGTTCCTTAAGCCAATCGACGTCTACCTCGGGATTCCGTACGCCACCCCTCCGGTCGGTGGCAACAGATTCTCCCCGACCAAGACGCCCAGCCCGTGGGACGGAGTCAGGTGAGAACATTTACTTCTAACCATGCGTTGTTCTAAACTATTAGCAAAAGATTCAAGACAAAGAAAGCTAAAATAATATGAAATATAGAAATCAACTATAAAGAAATTAATCGATAAATGAAGTTCTATGACATAAAACGAGTTAGAATTGAATAAATCTACAGAATTTTACTAGAATCAAAATTTCAGCTATCCAATAGTTTTCTAAAATCGTTAAATGAACTCTTGGGAATATTCCGGTAATACTCGCGATCTCACCGCTTTCGAGAATGCTCTCCGCTGGGGAGAGCAAAAACGGAAACACAATTATATACGACCTTAATCTCCATACATTACGAGGAAGCGGAGGGACAAAGGTGCTCGTAACGCAATACACTCGGTACACTTAATTAACTAAACGCCGAGTACTCGGCCAGAATGGAATAACTCTCTAATAACATTTTTCTAAATTCCTGTTGTCAAAAATTCCGCATCCAGTCCCATTAAGATTAATTTATTTGATCAGATAGTCACTGTTTATTATATAAAAATGGCCGAGAGCATACGACCACTCTATTCTGATTAATTTTTTTATATATTTATTTTTATTATTTTATATTTATATATTTTTAGAAGAAAGAAAGATATATTATATTTATATATATTATACATTATTATATTTATAGATAATTAAATTTGCAACAGTCGCAATATTTTTGTCTCCAATTTATATCAGAAAGACTTGAATTCTAATCTGTACTAAAAATAACATCGAAACGAACCGTGCTTTTTCAGAGTTTCGGACTCGGTGAGTCCGGTGTGTCCCCAAAAGCTGCCCGACATTTCCAATGAACAAGAAGCGTTGGAGCGAATGCCGAAAGGCCGATTAGAATACCTGAAGAGGTTGCTGCCGCACCTGCGAAATCAGAGCGAGGATTGTCTCTACCTGAACATCTTCGCGCCAGCAATGGGTGAGTGAGATGTTTTCTCGAATAGAAATTAACTGTTTCGATCCGGGATCCGGCGTTAACGAGGTCGCGAGACGGCACCCTCGACACGTGGAGTACGCAGCCACGTACGTACGTACGTCGCCGCGTTGCAATTCGTTTCGAAGCCCGACAGCTACGTATAAAGTCGCGGTATAAATAACTGAAGAGCTTCGAAGAAGTGTCTTACAATGGTATTCGAGTTACCGTGGGTTTTAAATCATTTCGTTAAACGAAAGGAAATCCTGTCCTTTGTTAGTCGGTATTATGAACGGAAAGACAGGCATTTACAATACTTATGGAATAATTAGCGGGATTTATAAAAAAAGGTGCTTAATGAAAATTTACAGCCGGGTCGAAATGTTTATTAAAAATAAGAAACGTATTCAACGGTTTGAACGAAAATGTACGCGAACATTTTAATCCATAAAAATGAGCCGGGACCTTGCAAATCCCTTTTATACTCGGTACAATCACGGAGATATTAAGCGCGCTTGTTGATGTTGAATACGTAAGCAGCTCGATGCAACTTTCCTAGTTAAGTTTAATCCTGCAAAGCATCCGGCGGACTTAATGAGAACAGATAAACGTAGGTTTCGAACGCGGGTGTACACCGGTTCTCATTATCATACGGCTTTCCAGTGATTCCGGCAGCTTGCATAATATCGAAGAAAATCGGTGTAAGAAGGCTTGTTCGAAGTCGCTGCCAACGGGTTTTCGAAACATTCACGCGGTCTTATATTCGTCGCTAGCAGGGAACAGGCAGGGAAGGTTTCAATAATAGTACATCACGGCGTATTCGCTACGAAATAGGAAATTTTACTTTTTCCTCGCGTGCCCCGTTCCCCCCCTCCCCTCCACGGTATTCTCGCACCCTTTCCCGTGCCGGAAATTGAAGCGGCAAAGGCGACGGGGAACACCCGCGACATTTTCTTGCGAGATACACACGTAGACTGGAAAATGGAACCGACGTTTTCTGGCAGATCGAAATTACAAATCAAAAGTTGCGTGCGAATCTCGAGTGGCTGTTAACCATCGCTTGAACGTCGTAGCGCATGAACTTGGTTGAATCGGTTCTCCTCCGAGCGAGTATATTCCGTTAGTAGCCGGCCGACAAACTGTTCCGTGCTCGGTAATCGAGCCGGAACATTGAACGCATGGAAATGGCCGAGCGGGACACAATGCGGACCCAGGCATTTGTATGAAAGAACCCGCACGACGACGCTTCGACGAGCCGTGCCCATTCACCGAGTCGACACACGCCGTACAAGATGCAAAAGGTTAACGGCAGCGCAGCCGGAAGAAAGGGTCGCGGACCCGACTGTAGGCGCGCATACATCGGACATTTTCACAGTCCTCTTTCCGGGTCAAACCGTTTTTCATCTCTTTCGCGTGGACTACGCCGGGCGTACAATGAAACATCGTGTAGCACGTAAATGTAAGCCGGAATAGGAAACCAGAACACGGCAGTCCGCGAGAGTCTGCCCGGGCCAGTTGTCCAGAATGCGAAACTCTCGCGGACATCACCGATTCTGGCACCCACGGAGAATAGTTCCGACACGTTTCTTCATAAAAACTGTCAGAATCGTGTTGCAGTTTTGTCGAGGGCGTTAATAATATGAGTTTATTATAATAATTATTAGTACACTAATTAAGGTTTAAGGCTAACGTTCCAAAGGGATTGCTCTGATTATTCTCTCGCTCGCTATATCTCGCCGTGACTCTTAACTACCACACTCTATCTATCTCTTGTTCTTACTCACTGACTACCTGTGCGTACATTACACCGAATCCTCGCATTCCTAATGCTCACACGCACGCGCAATGATTGTAACAG